CGACACCCTCCTCGACCTCCACCTCCTCCTCCTCTTCCTTACCTTGTCCGTGATCCTTCCTCCCTCTCCTCCTCCTCTTTTCAAGGAGCGAGGGGGCTTCCTCTTGTACGGCGTCCGGGTGCATCGATCCCGTTGGTTGAAAGCTGGGGGGTCAGTGAAACTACTGGCATAATCCACCTACCATCCATGAAACCAAATAGCGGGAAAGGTCAAGGAAGTCCCGTCCCCTCAAGCTTCTCTGGGGGGTATCGGAGATGGCCATGTGCCCACCATGGACTTAGACGTCATGGTCCTGGAACAAAATCCGAAAGCTCCAGCGTATGGGGCGACCTCTATACCGCATACTAGTGGGAGGGTGATGTGGTACGGAACCACCTTCCAAAGGGGGATTCGGATAGGCGACATGAGCATGGTCGGGACCCCAAAGCAAGATGACCTCCTGAACCATTTCCTCCTCCTCCACCTCCTCCTCCTCATCCTCCATGTCATCCTCCACCTTTTCCTCCTCCTCCTCCTCATCATCATCCTCCTTCTCCTCTCCGTCCCTCTTCCCCCCTCATTCGTCCTGCTCATCCTTCTTCTCCTGCTCCGTCTCCCTCATCTTCCCTCCTCCACCTCCTTCTCCTCCCCGTCCTCCTCCCACCCATTCATCATCATCATCATCATCATCATCATCATCATCATCATCATCATCATCAGCAGCAGCATCATCATCATCATCATCACCATCATCATCATCATCATCATCATCATCATCATCATCATCATCATCATCATCATCATCATCATCATCATCATCATCATCATCATCATCATCATCATCATCATCATCATCATCTCATCATCATCATCATCATCATCATCATCATCAGCAGCAGCAGCAGCAGCATCATCAGTATCATCATCAGCAGCAGCAGCATCATCATTTTCATCAGCAGCAGCATCATCATTATCAGCATCAGTATCATCATCAGCATCATCATCATCAGCATCATCATCATCATCAGCATCATCATCATCAGCATCATCAGTACCAGTACCAGTATCAGTATCTGTATCAGTATCAGTATCAGTATCAGTACCAGTATCATCATCACCATCATCATCATCATCACCACCATCATCATCATCATCATCCCTCGTCCTCCCTTCCTCCTCCTGCTCCTGCTTCTTTTCCTCCTCCCCTTCCTCCTCCTCCTCCTCCGCCTCCTCCTCTACCTCTTCGCCCTCCTCCTCCTCCTTCTTCCACTCCTCCTCCTCTTCCTCCTCCTCCTCTTTCTTCTCCTCCTTCTTCTCCTCCTCCTCCTCCCATCTCCTGGTCCTTCAACTCCTTGTCCCCCTCCTCCTCCTCATCCTCCTCCTCCTTCTCCTCCTCCTCCTCCTCCTCCTCCTCCTCCTCCTTCTCCTCCTCCGCCCTCCTCATCCTCCTACGTAAACTTACTCGCCTCCTCCCCTTACGACGACAGCCCATGTACCCTCTGGAGAAAGCCACATCGCGCGTCACCTTGCGTATCCATTTTTTCCCGGAAAGGGCACGGGCCCAGGGTTCTCTTTTAGTGGGTAAACCTGTCCCCCGGTGCCTGCTTGAAGGAGGCCGGCGAAATTTTTCCCTGATAAATAACGAGGTCGAAGGAGGCCGGCGAATTAAAATTTGAGGATGTCTCGAGCGAAGCGCTTGTTTTTCAGAAAATGGTGAGGATGTCTCGAGCGAAACGCTTGTTTTGTGTTATAGATTGTCCTCTCCTGGGGACCTGAATTCTGAGGACCACCTCCCAGCACGACCACCCCCCCAGCACGACCACCCCCCAGCACGACCACCCCCCAGCACGACCACACCCCAGCACGACCACTCCCCAGCACGACCACACCCCAGCACGACCACACCCCAGCACGACCACACCCAGGCACGAACCCACCCCCAGCACGGACCCCACCCAGCAGCCAGGGACCCCCACCACAGCACGACCACACCCCCAGCAACGACCCACAAGCCAGCACGACCCCCACCCCAGCAACGGACCCCACCCCAGCACGACCACACCCCAGCACGACCAGACCCCAGCACGACCCCACCCCAGCACGACCCCACCCCAGCACGACCATACCCCAGCACGACCACACCCCAGCACGACCCGACCCCAGCACGACCCTACCCCAGCCAGACCACACCCCAGCACGACCACACCCCAGCACGACCTCACCACAGCACGACCACACCCCAGCACGACCCGATCGATAAATCACAGGGTGCGGAGCACCCCAGCACGAACCCACCCCAGCACGACCCCACCCCAGCACGACCCCGCCCCAGCACGACCACGCCCCAGCAACACGACCGTCAACACGACCCGAACCCGCAGCACGAGCCCGCCCCAGCTAAGGACCCACACCCCAGCACGACCACACCCCAGCACGGACCTCAACCACAGCACGGACCACACCCCAGCACGACCCACGCCCCCAGCACGACCACACCCCCAGCATGACCACACCCCAGCACGACCACGCCCAGCACGACCACGCCCCAGCACGACCACACCCCAGCACGACCACACCCCAGCACGACCACACCCCAGCACGACCACTCCCCAGCACGACCACACCGCCTTGGTTGAGTGGTTGCCTGTCGTCGTGGAATGTTTCGTGGGGTGTCTCGTGGAATGTTTCGCGGGGTGTCTCGTGGAATGTTTCGTGAGGTGTTTCGTGGAATGTTTCGTGAGGTGTCTCGTGGGATGTTTCGTGAAGTGTCTCGTGGGATGTTTCGTGAGGTGTTGCCCAGTTGGGTATCGTGAAAACGTGTCCATGCTCCACATGTCTATATCCCTTTCCGGGTTCGTGGGTCCATCATGTTCTACCGCAGCTGTGAATGTTATTCCCAATCCAGTGTACAAGGCCTCAAGGGCTGTACGCCCGCCACCCCACCCACCGCCCCCCCGCTCCACTCTTCGCATCAAGCTACCGATGGCGGGCAAACGCCCCAGGACAGGCTCAGCGCACGGTGGTGCCACTGCAGTCGACCAGTCCTGTTGAAAGTTTCCTGTCCCACATCTGCTGACCTGGTTATGAAGAAAGCCCTGCGAAGGGCTGATGCTATGCTCACTGGTGTCTGGGATCGTTTACGTTCCACCGCATGTTACACAACGACGGCGTCAACGAAGACAAACAAGACGACAAGTTTGGTACCCTCCGAAGCAACTGATGAGACGAGCAGAGGGGAGAAAACACCGCCAAGCAATGCTGCTTGGCGAGACGAGCGAACTCACAGCACCAGCCTCGGACACCGTGCAACCACAAAACGGGATGAAAGGCACGCCGACGAGCACCACGACACCTCGACGCCGACGACGACGACCACGACCGCGACGACAACTCGCCCACCACCACCACCACGACGGTGGCGACGACCTCGAGGGGACCCCAGAGGTTCCCGAGGGCCCCCGGAGGCCCCCGAGGAGGCCCCAGGCGGGCCGCAGCGGGCCAGCAGCACGCGCCCGGAGCCCTCCGCCCTCGCTCCCCGACCTCCGAGGTCCCGAGCGGCGGCGGCGAGCGGGGAGCGGCCCTCGCGCCCCGACCCTCCTCCTCCTCCTCCTCCTCCTCGCTCCTCGCTCCTCGCTCCTCGCTCCTCCTCCTCCTCCTCCTCCTCCTCCTCCTCCTCCTCCTCCTCCTCGCTCCCGCTCCTCGCCTCTTCGCCTCCTCCTCCTCTCCTCTTCCTCCTCCTCCTCCTTCCTTCCTCCTCCTCCTCCTCCTCGCTCCTCCCTCTCCTCCTCCTCGCTCCTCCTCCTCGTCCTCCTCCTCCTCCTCCTCCTTTCCTCCTCCTCCTCCTCCTCCCTTCCCCCCTTCCCTCCCTCCCTCCCTCCCTCCCTCCTACCTCCCTTCCCTCCCTCCCTCCCGCCCTCCCTCCCCCCTCCCTCACTCTCTCCCCTCCTCTCCTCGCTACTCCTCGCCTCCTGCTCGCTCCTCGCCTTCCTCCTCCTCCCCCTCCTTCCCCTCCTCATCCCTCCCCTCCTCTTCCTCCTCCTCCCTTTCATCCTCCTCGCTCCTCGCTACCTCGCTCCTCGCTAATCTGCGACTCCGCCTCCTCCTGCTCCTCCTCCTTCCTCCTCCTTCCCTCATCCTCCTTCCCTCCTGACCTCCGCATCCTTCTGTCCTCCTTCTCATCCTCCTCCTCCTCCTCCTCTTCTTACTGCCCTGGTCCTCCTCCTCCTCCTCCTCCTCCTCCTCCACCTCCTCCTCCTTCTCCTCCTCCTCCTCGCTCCTCCTCCTCCCCGACCCTCGAGCCCCGATCGGCGGCAGCGAGCGGCGGCGGCGAGCGGCGGCGGCGAGCGGCGGCGGCGACGCTGGACGAGGAAGACGGCGACCATGTGGACGACGAAGACGGCGACGACGACCACCACTCGGGGCTCTGGGGCTGCACACCTGCTGCACTGACCCTGGGCAGGCACGCATCCTCGGCACAGCATCGGTGCATACGCCCTCCTGGCGTGGGCACGGAAGTATATTAGAGGCCTCCAAGTTGGGGTCGGAATAGATGGGGCCGGAGCATCGGCGACGTTAGCGATGCATCGGTGACGCCAGCGTGGAGAGAATCGGGCTCCACATCGAACCGCATCGCCGATGCATCGGCGGTGCGGCACGACCCTCTGAACCCATCTGCTCGGACCCCATCTCGGGGGCCTATAGGATATGCACCGGCCCTGGGCCCAGGATCGGCCTGGCCAGCGTCGGTGCAGGTGCGTATACAGTAAGGACTCGACCACAAGAACCCTTCCACCAAAAAACCCAACCCTGAGACCCCAGGGCGTCCATTGATTCTTGGTGTGGGACGCCATGCTTTCCATACCCCAGGGCGCCCTGGAGGCAAGCAAGGGGTTTCTTGGACTGGGTCTCCACTGTAGTTGGTGCGCCCTCCGAAACACCACCACCGCCGCGGCGGTGGCCACCACGGCAACGGCGACCACGACGGCGGGCGGCGACCACGGCGGCGGCGGCGGCCTCAGGGCTCAGCCGCCCGGCGGGGGCTGCCGCGGCGGGCCGTCGTCGGCGCTCGCCGCGCAGGTCCACGCCCGCCTGGCCTCGCGGATCTGTTCCTGCGACCGCGGGCGCGCTCGCGGGGCCGAACATTTCCTCTTCACGTCGTCTCGCTTCGCGTTTTTCGAGGGGGCGCCGCAACCCTGCACACAAGGGCGCGGGCCCCCCCTGTTCCGTTTCTGGCGAGATCCGGGAAATCCGATGAATCCAGCGACGAATTCCAAACCGGCGCCCTCGCGTGGGGGAGGGCCACGAAACGCTGTACTGGGTGTGCGGAACGCATGCGGACGGTAGCACTGGGACCTTCGGTGGAGCTCCCCATGGAGCCACGAAACGCTATACTGGGTGTGCGGGACGCATGCGGACGGTAGCACTGGGACCTTCGGTGGGGCTCCCTATGGAACCACGAAGCGCTGTACTGGGTGGGTGAAACGCAGGGAGGAGGGGGAGGAGGGCCACGAAACGCTGTACTGGGAATGCGGGAAGCATGCAGACGGTAGCGCTGGGACCTTCGGTGGGGCTCCCTGTGGGGCCACGAAACGCTGTACTGGACGTGCGGGACGCATGCGGACGGTAGCACTGGGACCTTCGGTGGGGCTCCCTATGGAGCCACGAAGCGCTGTACTGGGTGGGTGAAACGCAGGGAGGAGGGGGAGGAGGCACCGAAACGAGTAATCTGGGTGTGCGGGACGCCATGCGCATGCAGATGGTAGCACTGGGACCTTGGTGGAGCTCCTACCACGAAAGCTGTACTGGGTGTGCGGGGGGGACGCATGCGGACGGTAGCACTGGGGACCTTCGGTGGGGTCCCCCTTATGGAGCCACGAAAGCTGTACTTGGGGGGGTTTTTGTAAAAACGAGGGAGGAGGGGGAGAGGGCCACGAAACGCTCGTACCTGTACTGGGTGTGGCGGGGGGACGCACTGCGGACGTAGCACTGGGACCGTCGGTGGCGCCTCCTATGGGGCCCACGAGCGCTGTACTGGCGTGCGGAGACGCATGCGACGGTAGCACTGGGGCCTTGGGTGGAGCCCTATGGGTCCACGAAATGCTGCAATGGGTGGTGGCGAAACGCAGGGAGGGAAAGGGGAGGGAGGGCCACGAAAACGCTGTAATGGGTGTGCGCGGGCGCAGCGGGACGGTAGCCCAATGGGGACCTTCGTGGGGGCTCCCTATGAGGCGACGAACCGCTGTACTGGAGTGGGGGCCTGGGGGTCAAGGAGCCGCCCACGAAACGCTGTAATGGGTGTGTGGGGACCGCATGCGGACGTAGCGGACGTAGAGAGGGAGGAGGGAGAGGGAGGAGGAAGAGGAGGAGAACGCGGGGACCGTCTCTTCAAAACGAGGACCAAACACCACCACCACAACAACAAGGCAAAACAACCGGCTGGTGGACCCGGTGAGGGTCCACCAGCTCGCTGTTTCGCTCCTTGTGGCGAAACATCTCACTGGTGGACCCGGACCCCCCCCCCTCCCCCCCCCCGGCGCAACGCAACGCAACGCAACGCAACGAGGGCCCCTAAATCAGGGGAAGAGAGGACGTATGGAAGGGGGAGAGGCGAAGGATGGAGCACGACAGAAACTAGCAGGAGAAAGGTTAGGAGCAGAAAGCTCGTGGCAGAATCAGATGGGCAGATCGGGCAGGCAGACCTTAGCGGGCGGGTCAGGAAGGAGGGCCCAGCGAGCAGGCCATGCTGCTGAAGCATGAGTCCTGCATGAATCGCGAGGAAGTCTCCAGCGATAGCGCGACGCGAGGAAGTCCCACGCGAGAGCGCGAATCCTGCAGAAACTGTGAGCAAGTCCCGCGCGAGAGCGCAAGATTGGAACAATTTGAAAGGAAATATCCGGCGGGAGCCGTTCTTGTTGTAGCCGGAGGGGCAACAACGCAATTTGAGCAGGAAGACTTTCCCCGATGAAAAAACTGGGTGCGAACCTCGAGGGGGGCCCTTCAATGGGCAAAACATAATGTTCACCAGAGGGTGACCAATAATAACTCTTCTTCAAGAATGAAAGTTCAACGGCGCTCGCCGGATACTTCTTCAATTTATTGAAGGATCGCGCTCCCGCTCGGGATTTCCTTTCAAACTGCGAAGGAACCACACTCTCGCGAGGGACTCCCTCCTAATCTATTCAGACGCCGCGCCCTCGACACTCAGAAACCACGCTCTCGCTCTGGACTTCCACACGATTTATTTGAGAATCGCGCTGGCGCTCGAGACTTCATCGCGCTACATGCAGAACTCACGCTTCAGCGACCCAACCGCTCGACCCGCCCGCTAGGTTCTGCCCCCCCGGTCCGCCCGTTAGGGTCCGCCCGCCCGACCCGCTCGTCTGGGTCTGCCGCTCGTTTTCCGACTCCAGGCCCCCATCCTGCTTATTTCTCTCGTGTTCCGTACTTTTTCCTCCCCCTTGTCCCTTCCCTCCTTCCTCGCTTCAAATGTTTTTGGGGCTGCACAAACTATACGTGGCAGGTAAGGATGATATACCCCCAATGATGGTACAATCGAACGCGAAGAGGGCGGGTATCGAGGGTTCGGGGTACACATGTTGAATGGCACGCGAGCGGACAAGAACGAACAGTCTGAAAATGAGTGTTGTTGGTGTGTTTGTTGTCGTCGTCCCCACCACGACCCACCCGCGGCCCAGCCGCATTGCGTTGACTACAAGTCGGCGCATGCGGCGAGCTTGACCAACTATGCTTGTGGGCCTCGCGGACTGCCGACGATCCTCCCCGCCGCCCCCATCACTCTTACAGTCGGCCCGTATCATGAGGATGCGCGGTAAGGATGCAAGTGCCTTGACCGCCTATTTCGAAGCTTTTCGAGCGGAGCGCGGCCAACGAAAGCGGCCAAGGATGGACCTTGGAGGCAAGCAAGGGTACCCTCGGGAAGGTTGCCCATCCTCACTATGCGGGTTGACTGCACCATCTCTTATCCGCAACTGCGGGGACCATCGTCTGGCTTCTTGATCCCCTCAAGTCCACTGGAAACGAGAGCCGCCAAGCCTCAAGTCGGGCATGCCCCCGTCCAGGCGGATTTCGGCTGAAAAATGAAAAGGTGCTCAAGACAGGCTCCAACATGGCCAAAAATATTTGAACAAACAATCCTCCCAAGACTGCGCTTTGATTCTTTGGGCGCACTCCTCCTGTAGAGGGGCGTGCCCGACTTGAGCCGCGCCCTGTCGCGGGGCCTCACCGCCCCGCCCCGCCCGCGCGCTTCCCCCCCCCCCCGCCCGCCGTCCTGCAGCCGCCTGCCCTGCTCCCGGCTCTTGGCCAGCTCCCCGAGCACCTCGCGGCACGAGGGGCGATCCCTCGGCGATCCCTCGGCGGCGGCCGTCGGCCGCGGCCTGCGGCGGCCAGAAAACGAAAAAGCGCCACCAGGCAGAAACGTTTGGCGTCGTCGTTCGCCGTCGTCGTCGCCATCGTGCGACGAAGAAGGTACGCTACCGAGGAGCCCCACATACTGATGCTGTGTCGTGTGTGTGTGTGTTCATATACCATGCCCCATGCCACATCCTGCCCTTCCGAAACTTCAATGCGAATGTTCTTCAGGCTCTTCATCCACGGTAGCGTCGAAGATGGATGAATGGGTGGATGGGCGAGCCCGGAACGGATAGGTGGGCCACCCCCAACGCACCCCCTGTGGTGTCGTGGAAGTACCACGCCTGCCATGCTTTGCGAGGCCGAAACGGACAGGGAGACCACCCCCAGCGCACCCCCTGTTGTGTCGAGTAGAAGCCGCGCCGGCCACGCTTTGCGACGCCGACAGGGGTATGGAGACCACCCTCAGCGCACGCCCTGTGGTGTCGACGAAGTGCCACGCCTGCCACGCTTTGCGAAGCCGAAACGGGTAGGGAGACCACCCCCAGCGCACCCCCTGTGGTGTCGAGGAAGTGCCACGCCTGCCACGCTTTGCGAGGCCGAAACGGATAGGGAGACCACCCCCAGCGCACCCCGTGTTGTGTCGAGGAGAAGTCACGCCTGCCACGCTTTGCGAGGCCGAAGCGGATAAGAAGACCACACCAAGCGCACCCCGTGTGGTGTCGAGGGGTGACACGCCTGCCACGCTTTGGGAGGCCGAAACGGATAGAGAGACCCCCCCAGCGCACCCCCTGTGGTGTCGAGGAAGTGCCACGCCTGCCACGCTCCCCGCGTGGTGTCGAGGAAGTGCCACGCCTGCCACGCATGCCACGCATTGCGAGGCCGAAACGGACAGGGAGACCACCCCCAGCGCACCCCCTGTGGTGTCGAGGAAGTGCCACGCCTGCCACGCTTTGCGAGGCCGAAACGGATAGGGAGACCACTCCCAACGTACCCCCTGTGGTGTCGAGGAAGTGCCACACCTGCCATGCTTTGCGAGGCCGAAACGGACAGGGAGACCACCCCCAGCGCTCCCCGTGTGGTGTCGAGGAAGTGCCACGCCTGCCACGCTTTGCATGGTCGAAACGGATAGGGAGACCACCCCCAGCGCACGCCCTGTGGATGGATAGATGGATGGGCGAGCCCGAAACGGATAGGTGGGCCACCCCCAGCGCACGCCCTGTGGTGTCGAGGAAGTGCCTGCCACGCTTTGCGAGGCCGAAACAGACAGGGAGACCACCCCCAGCGCACCCCCTGTGGTGTCGAGGAAGTGCCACGCCTGCCATGCTTTGCGAGGCCGAAACGGACAGGGAGACCCCCCCAGCGCACCCCCTGTGGTGTCGAGGAAGTGCCACGCCTGCCACGCTTTGCGAGATCGAAACGGATAGGGAGACCACCCCCAACGCTCCCCGCGTGGTGTCGAGGAAGTGCCACGCCTGCCACGCTTTGCGAGGAAGAAACGGATAGGGAGACCACCCCCAGTGCACCCCGTGCGTCGAGAAAGTGCCACGCCTGCCACGCGTTGCGAGCCCGAAACGGATAGGAAGACCACCCCAGCGCACCCCCTGTGGTGTCGAGGAAGTGGAGGAGGGGAAGACGAGGAGGGGAGGAGGGAGGTGAGGTGTGAGCGTCGCAGGAGCGACGCTTGGCGCTCTGCGCGGACTTCTCGGATCCGCGCGGGGCGCCAACAGTTTATGTTTATGGCGTGTTGTATTGTTTCCTCGGGGCGTGACCAGCCCCCCTGAGCGGCCTCGCTCCCCTCCCGCCCACTCTTTCGACCGTTCCCTGTGCTTTGTCCCCTCCTCCTGCATGGTGGCACAACTGGCTACAACGGTGCCCCCGTTTAGGTAACCCTCCGCCAACTCAGTTACTCTGCCTAGCCGCCGACGTTGAACAGTTTATGGCGTTTCTTCTTCTTCTTCGAACGACAGCGACGACGGCGAGGACCCAGCGCAGATCCAAGAAACCCGCGCGGAGCGCCAACAGGTTACGTTTACTGCGTTTTCTCTGCCTCGATTCTCAGAAGGCGGCGGGACTTCCCCGAAGCCCTCGCGCCACCTGAGGGATGTTCTGCGTCATCGGGGAAGGCTTAGGGGACCTCTCAGAAGGCTGGGGGGCTTGCGAGCCCTCTGAGAACGATGGCGACGACGACGGCGAGGACAGCGGATGCCAAACCAGGAGGACCACGGAGGCCCTCGGCGGCCAGAGTCGGGGATGGACAGACCCCCCTTTAGTAAAACGTGGTTTAGTGAAAACGACCTGAGGCCCACACCTGGCGAGCCTGGAAAAAAACGGCCACGGCGCCCTCTCGAGAACCGAAAACGGGCAATTCACTAATCGACGTGTCACTGTTGGGGGTTCTGTCCACCCCCGACTAGAGCCTCCTGAGAAAGCCCCCGCCCCTCGCCACTGCCCGCCGCACCCACCCCCCCGGTCTCGCCGCCGATCCCGGGCCCCCTCCGCCGCAGGGGCCGCTCGGCCCCGCGGAGAGGCGCCCAGAGAGGAGGAGGAGGAGGAGGAGGAGGAGGAGGAGGAGGAGGAGGAGGAGGAGGAGGAGGAGGAGGAGGGAGACGAAGGTAGGAGGAGGAGGAGGAGGAGGAGGAGGAGGAGGAGGAGGAGGAGGAGGAGGAGGGCTCTGCCCACCCCCGGACAGACCAGGAGGACCACGGAGGCCCGCGGCGGCCCGAGGGGCCCCCTGGGCGGCGGCCTCTGGCTCGCGCGGCCTTCGGCGGCGCGGCCTCTCCGGCGGGGGCCTCTCCGGCGGCGGCCTCCGGAGGCGGCCTCCGGCCGAGGCCCTCGGCGACGCGGCGACGACGACGACGACGACGACGACGACGACGACGACGACAACGAAGACGACGACCACGACGACGACGACGACGACGACGACGACAGTGATGATGGACACGGCGACAACGACGACTGGAAAGACAACGATGAGGACGAAGACGGAGACGATGACGAGGAACACGGACGGGCCCGTTGCAAGCAGACCGATCCTCTGCAATCCCGACGGGCCTTCTCCCTCCTCCATCCCTTCTCCCTCCTCCATCTTGCTCTTCCATCCCTCTCCCTCCTGCTCTGATTCCCTCCTCCCTCCTCACCCTCCTGCTCCTGCTTCTTCCTCCTCCTCCTCCTCCTCCGGCTCTTCCTCCTCCTCTTCCTCTTCCTCCTCCTCCTCCTCCTCCTCCAGCTCCTCCTCCTCCTCCAGCTCGTCGTCGTCCTCGTCCTCGTCCTCCTCTTCTTCTTGGTAAAATTATTATTAGTCTCCATATTAGTATTAATAATAGTGCTATGTTATCTCATCATTATTGTTACTCGTCTTATTAGTATGATTCTTAGTTTTAAAAGTATTAGCATTATTCTTCTTATCCGTATTAGTATCATTATTCCCGGAAAGGGCGCGGGCCCAGGGTTCTCTTTTAGTTGGTAAACCTAATCCCCCGGTGCCAACTTGAAGGAGGCCGGCGAATTTTTTCCCTGATAAATATCGAGGTCGAAGGAGGCCGGCGAATTAAAATTTGAGGAAGTCTCGAGCGAAACGCTTGTTTTTCAGAATTTGTTGAGGATGTCTCGAGCGAAACGCTGGTTTTGCAGAGTTGGGGATGTCTCGAGCGAAACGCTTGGTTTCAGAATTTGTTGAGGATGTCTCGAGCGAAACACTGGTTTTGCAGAGCCGACCGCGACACGGAAAAGCGCTCCTCGCGCAGGAATTCCGAGGATGTCTCGACTAATTCGTTTGTTTTTGTGCGATTTCCTGAAATTTTGGCAGGATGTCTCGAGCGAAATGCACGACCCCACCCTAGCACGACCATACCCCAGCACGACCACACCCCAGCACGACCAGACCCCAGCACGACCCCACCCCAGCACGACCCCACCCAGCACGACCATACCCCAGCACGACCACACCCCAGCACGACCCGACCCCAGCACGACCCTACCCCAGCAAGACCACACCCCAGCACGACCACACCCCAGCACGACCTCACCACAGAACGACCACACCCCAGCACGACCACGCCCCAGCACGACCACGCCCCAGCACGACCACGCCCCAGCACGACCACCCCCCCGCACGACCACCCCCCCAGCACGACCACCCCCCAGCACGACCACACCCCAGCACGACCACACCCCAGCACGACCACTCCCCAGCACGACCACACCCCAGCACGACCACACCCCAGCACGACCACACCCAGTCGCACCCCCGTGGAAGGTGTCGTGGCGTGTCTGGTTGAGTGGTTGCCTGTTCGTGGGGTGTCTCGTGGACTGTTTCACGGGGTGTCGCGTGGAATGTTTCGTGAGGTGTCTCGTGGAATGTTTCGTGAGGTGTCTCGTGGGATGTTTCGCGGGGTGTCTCGTGGGATGTTTCGTGGGATGTCGCCCAGTTGGGTATCGTGAAAACGTGACCATGCTGCACATGTCTTTATCCCTTTCCGGGTTCGTGGGTCCATCATGTTTTTCTGGGTGTTCGTAATAGCATTCTTATGCATCGTGTTATTATTATGAATCGTCGTACAGTATTATGAGTCGTCGTCTTATTATTCCTAGTATTGTTATTATTATGCTTAGTCGTGTTCGACGTATTCGTATTATTATTATGGTTCGTATCCTTCTTAATGGTTTTCTACTTATTAGTAGTGTATTACAATGGTTCGCCCTCTGAGTATTCATAACATTCATATTAGCTGTCTGGATCCTCGTCTTGTTATTAGTAGGCTTCGTCTTCTCCAATTCGTAGCATTCGTCTTATTATTCGCATTAGTGTCTGTAGTTTTCTTGCTGTTATTCACAGTATTGTTATTATTCCTCCTAGTCCTCCTCCTCCTCCTTCTCCTCATCCCCTTCCTCCTCCTCCTCCTCCTCCTCCTCCGCCTCCTCCCCCAGATCCTCCTCCTCCTCCTCCTCCTCGTCGTCAAAATTATCCTCCTCCTCCTCCTTCCGCTCCTCCTCCTCCTCC